CCAGGAAGTGTAGGAGCAATGAAATGATACCCTATATCTTGGTAAAGCTTTGTTTCAATCGATGAGTCACCCACACCGAATACTCCATGAAAGAAGATGATAATTTTATCACTACTTGTGTCACCTGTTTCAGTATATGCTAATTGTCGACCATCGGAAAGCGTTACATACTTCTCGTCAGGAAGTCGAAGGTCGTTAGAAACTGAAGATGCATCTGATGGATTCATTTTCGAGTGATTTAAGCAACTAAAGATACAAAAAAGCAGAGTAGTGTCATGAAAATCTCAATGACTATCATCTCATAGTTGCACTCATGATCGTGTTTGAGAAAAATAACGTCTAAAAGAATAGTTAAAACGGTCTATACTTAGGAACTGGAAGTTATTGACGAAAACGCTAGCAGATGAAGAAATGCAAAAAGAAGTAAATGAGTTTTGTATTACGCGTTAAACTGCGTCACACAAAATAAAATCACTGTCTAGCGTCGAATTTGTTTGAACGAAAATTGTTAATCTTGATGTATTCGATAAAGTGAAAGGAATATAATATAATTGATGGCGCAATATTACTGACACGTTGGCAATAATGACGGAGAAAAGAGAAAGAAAGAAAAAGTCAGACACGTGTCTCAGCGATGTCGCACATGCGCAACTGTCATCTATACAGATTTTAGTTTTCTCCACAAGCTCTTTTGATCGGAATAATTTCGATTGCGAATGCACGGATACGATAGATACAATCAAAAAATTCTGAGGAATTCTATAACGTGTCAAAGTTATTCTGTATTCTTGTTGTCTTTGATTTCGTCAATACAGTAAAAAATAACTTAGCCGAGATGTTCAATAGTTCCTACTCCATTTTCATCGATCGATATTTTGAATTTCAACGGATCATTCAACGGTTGAGATGGAGACATAGGTGAAGATGCTGCATTGACAAGTAGAACTCCAGCTTCTTGCTGATATACCCCATAATCAGCATGAATGTGACCGAAAACTGACAGTAGAGGTCTGACTTTATCTAATCTTGACTTTAATTTAAATTCTAAATCAGAATGTGAATCATTATGTGCAAAGGGTGGATTATGAGTGATAACAATATGAGAATTCAATGGAATATCTGACCAAGATGAGTCACCTACGGGACGCCATGATACACCATAGATTCGAAGGCAGTTATCAATGATAATCTCTTTGTTTTTCAACACGATTCCATAGTTAAGATCTACGTTTGTGATAGTTTCATGATTTCCACCAACAACTAATTTATAACGAAATGGGAGCTCTTTTAACCATTGATCAAAATCTTCAAATGGTTGAGCACCACGACTGAAGTTGGTCATATCACCAGCATGAATAAGAATATCACCGGAATGAGTAGTTTTTAATCGATCGCTGAGTTGGCGATGCTTTTGATGTGTATCACTAACACAAACGACTATCCAAGATTTTGTAGAAGATGACGACATTCTTGCGTATACTCACTTGACAGACAATTGACGAAAAACATTCTCTTTTAATGAATCACATATGGTGAATCATGGTGTAACATCCCACCAATCTTATTTCACCGTGAGAGCTAGACGTTTCTTGTGTCTTTTTGAAAATTATATAAAAAAGCTATGGTAAAAAGTCAATGGATTACAACCACTTGTTTAAAATCGGAGTGACATCAACGTTGGTAGCATTCAGAAAGAAAAGAGGAAACTGTTTCATAGAAAATGGAGTGATATACTGGTGGACTTCTGACCATTGCATCAGGTAGATTATACCATCACGAAGACTTCTACAATGGAAGCAATATACGGAATCAATCTCATTTTCTGTTCCACTTACTTCCGTTTCTGTGTTTTTGATTGAATAAATTCATCGACCTCTTTCGCTAGTAAAGCTCCTCGTGAAAATACGTTCGTACCTGTTCGAAAATCAGCTGAATATAGAGATGATGCGATCATCGACACATATTCCAATGACATGCGCTTTATAAACAACGGCGTCGCATTAAAGTAATGTTCAAAACGATTTTTGATAAAATATTGTCGATATTCGTACGATTCATTTAATGGTAACACACTGGCCATGGCATCCATCGCTATGTATTGACCAAAGCCCTAAACAGCGTAAACATATATAGTACTCTCTCTACATACGATAAATACTTCATTAAACCATATGGTATCAATAACTGGTGTTAGTTCAAATGTGAATGGATAGTAAAATTTAGAAAATAATCGCTTTGGTATCCAGGCATGCTGGATATGATGTGCGAGATTATATTGGAAAATTTTGATTGTTTCTTGTGTACTGTTCCTGTTTATACCCGAACCATACTGAACATTGATTGTACAACTATTCAAATGTTCTATACTAAAACCGTAAGAATGTTGCTCATCCAATGGTTTAATCATTTCGATGGCCACTGTATAGAACAAAAATGGCATACTTCCATAGTATATCAATATATTTTGCATGGCAGATACACTCAAATCAGCAACCATACTAACATTCAGATTATACGAATCTTCTGTATAAGCAACAACGTAAAATGGCAATATTTTGTGAGCATGCTCTTCTTTGTCGTAAAGGATAGATAGAGAATGAAAACTCATATTTGGTCCCATATATATTTGGGAATCGGCTAAATGATAGTAATTTTTCGCTAGGCCATGCGCCTGTCCATATGGTAATCGACTAGTTGGCGACAATGTTAAATGAATTGGCCAGTTCGATGGACTACGAACATTCAACATGATAGGAAAATGCTCCTTCTGATCCATTTGTTCCAAATAACCAAAGACAGAATAGCCTAGGATGCCTATATATCGATCCAGTCGTATTTTTGATGCATCACCAGCACTCAGTATCCCTTGCTCATGTTTTATCAAATCAATCGAATACGATATTGTTGATAGTGTTTCATTAGGTAAACATTCCACTGACCACCGTGGACCGCTAATAGATTCTTTTTTTACTGGAATGAAATTTCCGTTGAGATTGACGGCTGTTAAATTGTCGATGTAAAAATCATAGAATTCTAAATTGTAGCCAGAAGGAACAGAACGTGGCATTATGAATGCTTGTCTTCCAGTTAAATTAAACTCAGTCTTCTTGTGAGACATAAATTGAATATTAATATGGACAATTGTCGATCGAGTAGTATTATAAGATACAGTATACACTGCATAGACAGTTGATGGATCGATGGATGTTGAAAATGAACACGTCGCAAATATTACAATCGATACTATCAGGAAAGACATACTGCGTTTATATTCGAATAGATTCATATGCGGTTTCAGAAAGAAAGCTGATGAAAACGATTTACTATCTGGAGTATAAACACAATTTTTCATATCAACATCGAGTATGCCACATTTTCTTCACTAGAAGCGAAAGCATGTGCGCAGCTTAGATATGACAAAGTTTCAACAGAATGAAAGAACGGTAAGACAGAAAAAGGATGTATGGGCGATTCAGCAGTAGAACGAATAGAGTGAATATGCTTGACGCAAGAGAAAAGACTTTATTTTGAAGTAAAAAATCGACGAGCACTTATAATTTTATGCATCCACCGGATTTCTGATTACATCTTGTGCCGGTTGGACAGCAGTGTCGACCATCATCGCAACACACACCCTACAAAGAGATTGTCGATGATCGACCGGCAAGAACGAAACAAAATCTTACATTATGATGAGCACAGCAAGCATATTGATCATCGTGTGACTTGCAACAAGTTTGATTTGATGGACAAACAATATCTGACGATCCACATTGAGTAAAATCTTGATGTTTTTCTGCTGAGATAGTTGAATTCAATTGACATGTGAGTTGTTGTTCATCGCAAATATATTTAAATGGACAACACATCGAACCATTTGAACCACAACAAACACCCTTGAATTGACTCTTGCTTTTTTTTCATCTAATTTAGATAAAAGAAGAACTTACTCGTGCGTATGGACAACATGAATAGGTGATTCCATCTTGATCTTTATTTGGACAACATGTAGAATTTAGCGAACATTTAGTTATTCCATCGGGACAGGTTTGTTCTTGGAAAGCGGTTAACAAAATCATTTTTTGATTTGCAATTTCGGTGGCGTCGATTGCATCGAAATGTTTGATGCATCTTGAACCAGAGTCATCGCATGAAAAGCCATTTCCACAGCAATGAACTTTATCCGAACAACACGATGCTTGCTGATACGGACAACAACCGTAACTGCCATCTGTTAACTCACAACAGGTTGTATCCTCGGGACAAAAGGATTTTTCATCTAGAAATCAACATAAATCAGACTTATTCGAAGGAGAAAAAAGGAAACTCACCAGGACATTGAATGGTTGATAATGAAAGTTTTGTTAAACTTCTATTGATTGGACGAGCTGCTTTTTTTGTAAACCATGGAATGGATATTCCTCGTTGACATTTATTATGTTCCACATCACATGTGTATCCATGTGGACAACAATGACTATGATCACTGCAGCAAACCGCATCAGCTAAACATAAAAGAGAAGATGTTTTGTTCCGAACAATTCCAACGAAAACCTACGCAATGGACAGCAGCCATATTCACCGGATTGTAATTCACAACAAGTTTCATCTACAATAAACGCTTTATTTTTGAAGTCGATCAATAAAGTATTCAAACCATCAGCACAAGACATTTCACCACCGGGACACACGACACCATTGAGTTGATCAAATCCTTTTTGACATCGTCCATGTTCAACATCACATGTATAACCATTTGGACAGCAATGAAGGTGATCACTGCAGCACACCGCACCAGCTATGAATGAATACGATTTCAAAAAGATTTCCATTTAATCAGAAAGAAAAACGTACGAATTGGACAGCAGCCATATTGGCCAGTAGACAATTGACAACACGTTTCGCCATCAGGACAAGAACTAACAACAAATATTTGATCTTCATTTAAAATATCTTCTTTCATTTACCTTTGACCGTCTATTAAAAAAGGGAAAGAAAATATTTGCGTAAATGGAATTGAATGATTTTACCTGGACATGGAACTGATCCAACTTGATGTAGGTAAGATCCTAATGGAAACGTCCACTAAATGATCGAAGAAATTTTTCGATAAATCATAGAAAAATGAAGATACAATTACATTATTCGCGCATCCATTTGACTGTGTAAAAATTAAAGTCAAAGATAAGAGAAGAATAGTCGATTGCATTCTCGTCGAACACTTTCTTTTATTAAACTGATCAGCGAACGATTTGTTTTCAGTTATTTCTCATACGTATAAAGAACGTTTTCATAACCAGTGGAGGATAACGAATAAAAGATGTCGCTGGTTATTGAATATATTCAGAATAACGAATGTCAATAAAAACGAAAGAAAATGAATTCAGATGAAGACTCTTTTGTGCTCAGATTACATTTTTCGTATGTCTGCCTCTGCCTTTTCTTTTCAATCAAATCAAAAGAACTTATTTGCTTTGTTATAAGGCACGAAGAAGCCGAATTTTTTATTGAAAAAAAAATGAAGACGATTTTACTTCTCGCCGTAATTTTTTCCTTCTACATCGTCAACGTTCAATCTTTTGGCTGCGATTGTTCATGCTGTACGGGCTCCGGTTGTTCATTAGTTTATCTGGGTACGCTTAAAGTTCCAACATGTGCAAGTACAACATGTACAGATGCATGTAAAGCATCGTACACACAATGTTTGCTTGGATCATCAAGTGCTGTTTGTTCTGGAAAGATTATTTTCGACTTTTATACAAATCTATTTATCATCATTTCAACATTTATATTCGTTTTATTTCTCAACAAATAAACAGATTTTCTTTTGCCTTTTTTTCAACTTTAACAGTCGTTGACTTTACTGAGAAAAATACAATAGATTGTATGACTATGGCAGTAGTGCCAAACGCGAAATTTGAATTAAAATATTCGCGTATTCATCACCTTCCGAAGCACTCTCAATAGAATAGTTGAATTCAAGTTATGCATGCATGTCAAAACTGAGTGATTTACTGGCAATTCTAAAACACGATTTTGACAAGGAGAATGTAAGTAATAATAATTTATTGAATTAATGAGACATAAACACAACACTAAATAGAGTTTTTCAGCTGAGAAGAAAGTTTCATGTCTGACAATGGTTTAGTATCAATGAATCGGAACATTGGTTTGAGTACGCAATGTTGTACCTTGATACATAGTAAGATCATTTTGTTTTTCAATTCCGAAAGAACGTTTAAATTGCCGGCGAAATCCGGAATTAGTAAATAATAGAATATAGAAACTTGATGCGAAAAAAACATATGATAATAAATGCGTTGATTCAGTAAAGATTTTCTCTCCAGCTTTCTGTAAAGGTGTTTTAGGCCAATCATCAGTTATACTTGTATAAGCTAACTCAATTGCATATGGCACATACGTTATCACAACAAGTACCGATTGTAATAATAACATGATGGTTAGTTTTGAACTCATTTGTGCAAGAAGAGTTGCATTTTTGTTTGAATTTTGTGCTTGAGGTGAGATATCAACTGCTGTCGGATTAATACGTCGTTCGATTATTTCTCTAACACTTCGAATTAAAAGAAAAGCAAATATGAGCATAACAACCGGTGGCAAGATAGCTGACGTAGCGACTTCAAACCATTCGTCCCATTCAACATATATACTTGATGCTGATGTTGGTCCACAACTTCCATTTTCGATTCGATACAAGACAAGACGATGACCGATCAATAAAAACCAAAATATAAAAGATGCGACAATCATTTTGTATGCTAATGAAGGACGATTACTCCATTTTCGAAAATCTTAATAGAGAAAATTATTTTATGAAATGTTATTGTAGATTATCTGCAGCTTTACTCTGCGATCGCCTTGTTGACAGAATCCGATCAATTGTGCCAAATGAAAACAGCGAAAATGAAATTTGGTTTCCCCAAAATGAAAAAAACTGACGAGCCTTACACAGAGCCTCGTAGCGCGTTAACAAAGGAATGCCAAAACCTTTTTGAAGTATTCTCGTCATAAGAACGAAATTAAAATAAATAAAATCCATAATTGACTGAGAAAACAAATAGATTGAAAACGCATGTGCGCGAAATGATGGAGAACGGAATACAATCAGATTCCCAATGCTGCCAATATTACCTGCGACCCATAGAAATAACCCAAAATAGATATTCAAGTCGTAAGGAGCTGATAATAAGCTATTGCTAACCCCATGCGTTGCATTGCTCATCGTCGACGGATATGCGCCTGTCTTTCCGCAAGAGAAAAATGAAAAATAGACATTCTTTTGATCTCCAATAATTTATAGGGAGAGAATATTAAAAGAATGGCATCGGTGTCTTATTACGTCGAAAGAATTTCATCCTAATAATTAAAACGACAAGTCCATTGACAGGTTCAGGTGAAGTACTCTTTACCTTATACATTCGGACGGCTATAATGCAGGGAATTTTTAAACTAATTCTAGTCAATAATATATCGCATCTCACTGGAGAAACTACACTGATTGAATGATGAGAATATACTAGTGTGTCGACTGAAATACATAATCAAATTCTCGCTTTTAGCGTCCTGAGTTTCTATTTGTTAAAAATGGAGTAAACTGTATGAAGCTCTTCTAAAAAACAGAATGCCATTATTAAATTAATCGCGAACAAAGGAACACAAAAATATGAATTATTTACCGTAAATGTAGAGCATTTCAACCCAGTAAACATACTTTCTTTCGATTTTCACTATGACAGTTATTGGATAAACAGATTTTTATTTGATACCAGTTGAATACTCAATTTATCTTCGAAATTTCTTGAATAAACGTTAAATTATGGATTAAATACGTGATAGCATGGTCGCTTCAATGAAATTTCTCTATCTCTCTTTGATTTACACTTGAAAACATCTGTCCAAACAAATAATGATGATACTTCATTCAGCTCCGACAAGTAAATTATGCTGTATTAATTCAAACACAAGATTACAAAGTGGGAATAATAAGATTGCACTTTGAAGATTAAATTAGTAAGAGGTCTTTAATCATACTTGCAATAGGAAAGAAAACTAGACTCATCTACCGTTGAATAACATAAAACATCGATAACGAGAATGTTTCAGCAACGAGACATTTTTATTTTTTTGACTATAAGTATGTAATTACACGTACAACGTGAATCAATCAATTCTGGGCTAGTGTAAAAAAAATAAAAGGAAAAAAACGAATGTTCTTTCATTCCTCGAAGTTCATTGTGTGCAGTATCGATAAGCGCACGCCCCCGGTGCATATAAACCATGTACATAGTATCCATTGCATTTCGTTATTTTGATCCAGTAAACGTATCCGAAACAAGCGTTACCGCCGTAAGCAAAACAAGCAAAGGCATTTACAGTTTGACCAAGAGTTGTCGGATACGTTGCATTAGTCCAGCCTGCTGCAAGTGTTCCGCACACCTGTCCTTGGCCTGAATTCGGTGCTGAAGTAGCCAATTGTGTGCCGCCAGGACTAGCAAACCGAACATAGGACGGAACATTTCCACTGACACTATTAAAAACGCTTGAATCACAACCGCTGCCTGATCCTTGTGTAGTTAAACGTGTGGTATCGGCAATTGTTGTGTAATTGTAACATTGTGCCGGCAGCGCTGCAATAGTAGTAGCTGAATTAGAAAAGAAACACAATACATATATGTCGTCTATTTGAGACACTGAAAAGCTTTACTCGATGCTGCGGATGTTGTTGATACGGAATTCGTCGACGATGGAGGATACAGTGTCGTGGTCGTTTGAAATAAAGTACTGGGTGGTGTTGCTACAACTCCGTATGATGTTGACAGTGCCAATCCGATGCGATTATTTTGCATGTCAAAGACACTGTAGAAATGTCGCATGAAGAAATCACCGAGAATCCAAATTGGATTCGAATTGGCATCATTTGCAGTGATCGACTGTATAACGACGTAACATATGTAGTTCGAAGGACCGCCTGCAATTTGAATATACATCAACGGTGTCAATACGAATGAAGTACCAGTGATTGTTATAGTTATATTTGGAAATGCTGACAAGGGTTTTGTTTGGCAGTTAACTGTGTACTAAAACGAGAGTAGACTATTGATGAAAGAAGATCTTTTAGTTTTTATTTACCCATCCGATCGATGAATTGTATGTCGCCCCTAATGCCGAATAGATGGCATTTACGTAAGTTGGCGGAGCTGCAATAGCAACTGTTGTTCCGGTATCCAAAATAGCATTAATTGATGTGGCTACAGTGGTGGTGGTCGATCCAACTGTCAGGCTGACACTGTCGGCAACAAATTCCCAGTAACCTTTGATATTTACATTGGCATATGTAAAACTACCAGTATATTTTGTTGTATCGTAACCACCCAAGATCAGTTCACCCGTGTCAGATCCGGTCGATATTCTACGATAAACAGAAAATAAACATCAAGATATGGGAAAGCGATCAACTTACGGTCCAAACCAAAAACCAAAAATTGGAAGACTGAGCTCCCCAGCAAGATACATCGACCATATTACCGGGTTTTCACCGCCAGTTGCAACGCTTTGATAACTCATTCCCAATAATCCATCTGATGCGCGCGAACTCATGCCTACAGCGGAAGTAGCCATGGCAAAAGATTGCTTAGCAATAGATATGCCCGCAATCTAAGAAACAAAAGAAATACAGAGCAATTTTCGTATGTACGCATTTGAATGTATCGTTTTTTCTCTTACGCTGACTGTTTCGTTAGCCCATGATCCATTCACGTAGCTACCATCGCCATATAGAATGTAGAACGTTTTATTCAAAGATTTGAAGGTTGATGATGAACCGCTGATAAATGTATGATTACCACCTATGATCATAGTACGTAAACGAAGCTCATATTTATTAACGAATCAGTTTCTCCTCTTACCACACGAATGATTACACTGCGCGGCTGGTACCCAAAGATCGCCTGATCCGGTATCGAAATCAACATAAAACGATTGTCCTGGCGTACCAATTGTTATCAAACCCATCCAATACGACTAAAATTTGTACCGAGTTTTGTGATACGATTAACAAAAAATCTCGAATACATACTCCCCACTGTACGTCAATTAACGATTCATTCGCTGTAGTAGGTGTAACCGATCGTTTAATTTTCCGTGTTGTGTTCATACTGGGACACTTGTTATATCTTTTACCAGCACTTCCACATTTACGCTTGACATGCTGCATCACGATGCTAGAAGTGTATTTACATTGAAAAAAAAACTGTTTTTTTTTATTACGCTTGAGAAATACATACCGTTTTATCTTGTGCCGAACCTCAGGAGTATGTGACTCGCCGCGTGCATTGGCAGCGCTACTCTCTTCGACGACTGCAAGTATAAAAACTAGCAGTAATGCTACTACGAATAAGAATTTGTTCATATTGTTACTGCTACGTAAAAGATGTGGATAGCGTATATATACTTGCAGTAATAGTACATTGCGCACTTTTATTTTTCGGTCTAACAAGGACAAACAAATATACTTTTCTTCTCACCCGCAACTTGTAAGCTATCGTTTCAATTTCGTTCTAATAAACATCGTAATTGGCCGCTATTTTCGTCTCTAACCCGATCAATACTACGCAATGTGAGAAAATAATCTCTAAATATGGTTTCGTCCAAAGGTAATGTTCCTCTTTCTATCTTTAGCTCAAAGATGTAAGCGAAGACGTCTTTTTTTAGTGCATTTTCCGTTACGTCAGATTTCGTGATGATCTCTTTAGCTATGTATGCGATTGTAGATCGTACACCGTTATAGATTAAAAGATTTTTCTCTCTGTTCGAAAATGTTATATGAAAATTTTTACTACTTACTGAGAATAAAGGTCACAATGTTCGAGAAAAGTAGAACGAGACAGTCTCTTCTGCATTTTTAGAGTGTTGAGCAAAATTCCGTTATTATATATCTGCAAGATCTCTTTATCTTTCTGATGCCTCTAAAGTTATGGAGATGAACATTCCGACATATCTAAATAGTGACATCAGTCGTTGTTGAATGTGTTGTACACTGTGAAGAGTACTTCGAACAGTTTGCGACATTTTCTATGAGCTAGATGAAGAGTTGTTGTTCACTTCGATTCACAACCAGATAGATTACTTCGTCTAAAATAAGGTTATTCTTAAAGGAAATTTTCTAAAAAAACAATCATAAGCTATTTCTTCTGCTAGCTTGCACTAAAATATTAGTTCTGACATACAATTTAGTCTGAAAAAGAAAGTATATTTTTTCCTAAATAAATTAAACTGACAATGGATGTTATCTGTGCATCTGATTCATTACTCATGAAAGGAAAAGGGAACGTCAATGTACGATAAGAGAATTTCTTTGCTCGAATAATTGTGAAGCAGTTGGAGAGAAGCATATTTTTCTATTTGTTTGAAAATGGCAACAAATGCCAGCGATTTTGGCGAGGCATTCGATACACTGGAAATCTCACTACCACGTTCCGTTCGATTTTGGTTACTTCTTCTTGTTGACACGCCATCGATTATTTGTAGTTTTATTCTCTTATTTTATCTGTTCGGAAATCGAACAGCTCGACAAGCGTTAAACAACCATGTGATCGTAATTATAATTCTATTTGGTTTGGGAACTGAATTGATCGATGTGCCACTTTATCTGACATTTATTGTCAATTCTGGCTGGGTTACACCTGCGACTCCAGCTACATGTCTGATCTGGTGGTTTGTCGCATTTGGATTATATAACGGTGGACAAGTTCTCATGGCTTGGGCAGCAATTGAACGACACATCCTAATATTTCACGATAGATGGCTTGGAACAAAGCGTAGTCGATTCATTGCTCACTATTTACCTTTAATTCTTGTACTTGTCTATGTATTCGTCTTTTATGTATACGTACTTTTCATGTTTCCATGTGAAAATGTGTATGTTTACGAGTTACCAGTGTGTGATGCGTATCCGTGCTATCAAGAAGATTCTTTCTTGGGAATTTGGGATTTTTTGGGGAATAATATCTTACCGGGATTTTTAGTTGCCGTTGTCAGTATGGCACTATTGGTGCGTGTAATTCGACAGAAGCAACGATTGAATCAAGCTGTTCAATGGCGTAAAATACGGAGAATGACCATACAGTTGTTATCAATATCAATCTTGAACGTTATTTTTATTCTACCATTGAATCTTCTTGCACTTGCACATATGTGTGGTTTACCAGAAGACTATGGTGCACAAATACAACAATATCTTTATTTTGCTGGATACCTTTTTATATTTCTCATACCATTTGTCTCCTTAGCTTCACTGCCGGATTTATGCAAAGAAATTCAAATGAAAATACAATGTCGACGACAATCGCAAGGTCGTGCAAGCATTAATAATGGCCGAACAACTAGCACAGCTCGCCGACAATAGGATTTTGAGGCTGTAAGGGCGAAAAAAACTGAAGTGGGAAGTGAAGATGCATGAGCAAAAGAAACAGATCAGCCTTCGTAGTTCTTTTATATACAGCAGGATATAATCCATGTTATCGTTCCTTGATGTGCACAATGGATGGTATAAGAACTACGAATCGGAGAGTCTGCGATATATTGCTATTACCACCCTCTGCAGTTTCTCATCACGTTAGAATCTTGGAAGCACTTGTGAAATAGAAGGTTTTACGTGAACCGTTTTCTTCTCGACAACAGTGCGTACTTCTTGTTCTTGACGTTTCTTTTTGAATGAACGTTAAACTGTTTGATTTAAATAATGTCTTTCGTCGAATTCTGCAATAAAGAAAAATATCTCCAGAACAAAGTTTTCAAAGTTGAAGAAAACAATTAGTTAAAGTCTGCATCAGTTAACATGATCGAGAGTGCAAGTGAAAGGTACTGGCTGGAATCGATTAGAATGAAAACAAAGCTTTTGCTTGCGTGTGTCGAGTGGTAAATGATGAAAATAAGTCGGATTTTTTTATCCGCAATTACTGAATAATTAGCAAGTCGTGTGAAAGGACATTCTTACCTCTTGCAAATGAACAGCACTTTGTCAATTTATTTTGGTCTAATATAAAATCTCGATGCTTTCAACCCCCGCGGCTAAATATGAATGAAGCCTATTATGGTATAGAAAAATTTATTCCGCTTGATGGATTCAGTCGAAACGAAGAATTCTATGAGCAAGATGATACAATTTTTATCAAAGTAGAAGTTGACTTTTTTAGTGAACCATTAGGTAAAATATATCTAGCAATGTGAGACCATTTTCAATAAAAAGGTTTCGTTTAGAAATTCTGTACAAAAAAGCTTAATTTTGATGAAAAATTTCTCACAAAACTTAATAATAGTTAAGCATCTGACATAATTAATTACAGCCTAACTTTCAAATTCTGCTGATTCTTAAGCGCATAGCAATAGTATTCCACATCAGTTGCCATGTGATTTTCGGCAATCTTGAGTTAGACTATAAGCGATTCAACTAAAAGTGATTGGAAAGTTAACTCAGGATTACTCAATCTGAGTAGATAGCTAGCTGGCGCTGTTCCTTATTAATTTCATCGATTTCTCTGTATATTTCATGCGACACGATTCTTAGCAGCTGCACTAGTTATACCATATTTTAGGGTAAATTACAGTAAATAGATAGTTTGCTATCGATTGGTATTATCCTAATGGAAAATTTTGTCTGTGGTATGATTGTGCGTCTCATTCGTCTTCTTTTTTGTTGCTTTCTAATAATACCACTCCAGTAGAGGTTTAGTCAAGGTGATTGTGAATCAATAAAAACATAGTCATGAGTGTTTTGTTGCTGTTCTTCTATTGTAAACAACAGGACACAAAAAAGAAAAGAAACTATTTCTTGTTTGCATCGATAAAAGACATACTGTAAACGAGAAAAATCTTCTCTGTGACAATTTAAACTCTGATGCTTTCAAAGTACGTTTGCGTATTGCTTTTTAAAGAGATTACATATTGGTTTTCAGCTATTAAATCTATTTGGCGACATGTCAGAAGCAATGTTGATGTTTTCAAGTGAAGCTGATAAATTAAGAAACAAAATGGCGCACAGACGCTCGCTGGATAGTTCAGGTTTAATGCTGATTCGAAAATTGACATCTCATTCTCTATCGGACGGTAAACACATTGCTGCGATCTAATCCTAACTTTTGATTCTATTGAAATAGGAGACATCGTACCTGATGTACCAATTAATCTAGAAGGTTATCGTGGTAAAGTTGGTCGAATTTTCTCGTTTGCAGTCACAGGCAATACAGATGGTCCTATATGGGGTACGGATATTTATACGGACGATTCGAACATCGCTACGGCTGCCGTACATGCTGGAATTATTGATATAGGCGAAACCAAGGTGGTCGATATTAAGGTCTTTCCGGGGCAACAGGCCTATTTTGGTAGTACTAGACAAGGTATAACATCTTTGTCGTACGGTAAATGGAGTGGAAGTTTTTTCTTTACTAAAAAGCCACTTAACTTTGATATGACAATACCAAATATCCAAATGTTTCGGGATAAGGTCGGACAGATTTTTTCGTTCAAGATCACAGGCAATGACGAAGGACTTGTGTGGGGCACACATATTTATACAGATAATTCAAATCTCGCTACTGCTGCTGTACATGCTGGACTCGTCACTAAGGGTGAAAAAAAAGTGGTTCATATTCATATCCTACCCGGTCAATTTAATTACCATGGAACGACACAAAATGGCATTTCTTCCTTGTCCTACAACACGTGGGAAGGCAGTTATGCATTTTGTTCCAAACCACAACAATAATTATGAACTCTTAAATAGTTTTTTCTTCTGAAATGGTTCTACGGTATATAGTGGATGCGTTTTGATTTGTAGGTTTTCGTAAATAAAAACCGATTTTTATCACAAAACATTCAATGGAATGCTGTCGATTGTCAATTTTGTGTAGATCAAAGCCGAAGTTATTTTTAGTTAATTTTAATCGTTTATGAATGGTTAAAGCTGTCTTTTTTCTCGAGCAAAAGAACTGTACAGAAAAATAATTGACTATTCATTTTTTTTTCTTTGTTCTCTTCTTTTTAGAAAGAGGCAGTCATTATTTATCGACATATTTAAGATGAGTAATCAAAGAGCCATTTATTCTTTATGCGATAACTGGAATTTTTACGATTGATTCTGTCGTTTGAGTTGTAATAAAAAAGCACTTGTGTTTTTTTATCACGTTCTCTTCGCCCCTCAATTCCATTTTCACAAAAGCATATTAGATAATTTTTTTTTCCTATGCACGTGATCAACATGAAAAGAAAGATGGAAGTCGCATTTCTACTACTACTTTTGATATTCGAATGGAAGACATTAGCAATCAAGTATGAGTCAGCGGATGACAGCCATGATCTTAAAGTGGCACTTAGCGATGAGTTTATTGTGGGTGTTTCGAATCTTCGCAAGATTTATAATTTTTATTCAGTATCCAATATAACTCAAAACTCTTCATGTACGACTAACAATCCGCACTCTGAACTCAATATCTACGGTCTTTCGGTGTTGAAGATGAAGCAAAATCACGTAGTCTCATTCGTTCAACTTGCCGAAAATAAAACATCGAAATCTACTGTGTTTTCTCGAATTACTATGAATTTAACAACGTGCGACAGCGATCCTGGATCGCAGCCTGTTTTTCAGCACCTAACAGTATGGACGAAAGGTCGTCAAGAACATATGTTTCTCAAAGTCGATCGGCGAGAAAACTTCGCCTATATCTTTGCCGATTCGTTTATATTTTCGTACGATTTACTTCTCAATCAAATCAACCAAATCGACAGAACAAATTCCATCATGTTCGATAGCAGCTATGAATCATTTACTCCGTATGCATTCGATATAAAACACGATTGGGCTGTTGTTGCTGGATCTCATTCCGTACAAAATCAATCTCGAAGCAAACAATGCCTTTACATATTAGGACTTCAACCATTGCGGGTGATCAATGTCAGCACGATTGGTGCAAACGATCTTCAAGGACCTGACAAAGCTACTTACAATCAAGACTATGATATATCACTGTCGATTAATCCCTCGGGAACGGCAATAGCTATTGGCGAAGCCCAACTGAATAAAGTCACAATTGCATATATGAATGGAGATGACACATTTCCGTTCGTTTCAAAATTTCACGAGATCAGTGAACCTGAGAATTGGACTGGCTTTGGTCGTTCAGTGATCTGGCTCAATGACGATGAAACACTGGCAATACTTGTACTTAAATCGAGGAATCATAATTCGGCGAAATCCGAGATACAAGTGTATGAAAACATATCTCACAATCGAACTCGCGGCTCGATTATACCGAGCTTTGTTATTCCAAACAATCAACAAACATTGAATAATATTCTACGCTCGAAGTCTTCGCGTAAACATTCTTTTCATCGTATTCGGGCACGTTCGAACAGTTTGTTAATTCTTCTTAAAAATGCTGATGTCGTCTTTATTCCATCCGCTGATGCTGGCTTTTGTTCGATGGAGCTCTCATCGGTAAACTTTCGAAATCTATATATTTTGCAACCGAGACCATGTGTGAGCGGATCGTATAAAAACGCATCGGGTCCTGGTCCGTGCACGATTTGTCCATCGGGTACAAAAAATCCGGGAGATTATCCAGCAATTGTATGTCAACCCTGCAATTCGAGCGCTTTTTGTCCGTTGGGTGCCACAAATGATGTTGATCTAACTAACTTTCGTTCATACATTCAGACGTTCAGTTATCCTGACTCACCTATTATCGATGATTACGATGATTTATTGTTGTTAAACTTTTTCCCGACGAATATGAAAGCTAGTTGTATGGTTTTGACGCCTCTCTTCTGGACCGCAGTGGCTACAATATTATGTTTAATAATGTGGTTCACTATGTTTCTCATCAAACGACGACGTCCAACAGTGATCAATAGTTATCGTCAACGAGCAAAGATCGTTTTAAAGCACAATGATCTGATCGGAGAAGGAGAACGATGGATTGGTGGTCTGGCATCCATCATCATTTTTACTATTATCATACACTGTGCTATATTCTCCTTTTTTTACTTCCAATCATATCCGATCGAGACAGCAGAAGCAGTGGACAAAGTATGCGATAACACTCAACGGAATTCCAAATTCGATAATGCCCTTCAATTGCCTTTGCCCGGAAGCGATGGCACTTATTGGCAAATATTCGACATGCTCAACAAGCAGCCATTCACAATGACTTTACATCTGATCAATACACGAGCTCAGTGTGGTGACATCACGGTTGAACGCAGTAGACATACCGGCACTCCTCTATCGATAGGCGAAACAATTTGCACATCGTCAACGATCAATGATAGCATTTCGTTTAGTTTCGCTCTGCCTACTCATACGTCAACTGTTCGCGCTAGTATTAATGGGCCTTATTTCATCGGGGCACTTCGTCTGTGCCTCTATGGAGAACCCGATGCCGAAATGGAAGAATCGGCATTGCATCAATTACGCGAACTTGACATATGTACTCTCTTCCATGCAAATAATCAAACCATTGGACTCTCAACAGGTTTCACTGTGCGTCTCATCAAAGTTATCAACGTAACAAAGCCACTGAGACGCAGTGACCGAACATATTACGATGGTATATGGGCGCCGTTTATAACCTACACCGATGTTCTCTCGGATGAAGCGTATTTTGCAGAAAAGGGCGAATATTTGCGATATGCTTCTGAACAAACGACAATTAATATTGAATTTAGGGAAGAGATCTACTTTGTTCAAAACAATCAATCGCCAATTATACGTCGAGGAGCACTCTTCTTTCGAACAATTCTTTTTAGCTTTTCCCTTATAGAAATATTTGCAATGGCTTTCCTTCTGTACAAGCTTTGGTTCCATCCCATACGTCGACGTATTCTAACGTCTCGTGATGATCCAGTTGATGATGAATTGCAGATGAACCAAGCACAAAATGACTCGCACGTATCGTCATTATCAAAACACCAAATGTTGCCCAGAAAACGAGGGAATATAAATGGTCGATGTTGGAATCGGCAGAAATCCCATCGTACAAAAGATAACAGAGAACATTCAACAAAACTAGGAACCATCGAGTACTTAGACGAACCATTAACTTCACCGTCTCTTCTAACGACTTCGTCTAATCAAATAGAACACTAAAAAAGTGATACTCTCTCAGTAATATCATGTTAGTATTCTGTAGAATGATGAAATGCAAAAACAATTTTTTGCATAAATAGGAAAGAAAAATAAACATAACATGTACGAAATGTGATTCTAATGAGAGAATTGTTGTTGCAGTATGAACTTATCGGAGAAATTCGAAAATGAAGATATTGATGAGATTTGTTCTCATTTTTGTGAACACTTCGAAGTTGCTTTTGCTGATTTATCGTCTAAAACAGGAGTTACATTTATGATCATATGACGTTAAACATGCTCATTTGTATATATGATGCCGACCAATTCGAAATGATCACTTATGGAAAGCAAAGCAGTGTCGCATTCTTATTATCATCCTTCATCCACGCTCAGCTGTGTTTAAAATAGTTTTTGCCTATAAATAGATGTGCACGCGTAGACATTTTAAATATACTTAACAGAGTTTTCACAAGAGATCCATTTTGCGCATATTAGTAAGAGATTGAACGACACGCATTCGAAAAAAACGTCATTTTTTTCGGCGAGGAAAATCTTCATACTTTTATCTTGCACTACCAAAAGAACCAACAGGTTTCGCAGTAGCTTTTCCCATGCAACTCAAATTTTGATTATAATTCCGCAAGGCTTTGTCGGCACCATAATCAGTTCAGTATTGCTATTTACGAAAACTAATCGGTGGCAATAAAGAACGTACTATAAATCTTGGAATCTCTGCAGAAAGTGTTTTTTCTGTATCATATAGTGACTTGAAAGCGTTGACACTCTGCCATCCTATTCCTAGAAAATATACATCACTATTATCACGGAGTTTTCTATTTTTGTCCTCATTATAAGCGAGATACAGCAGCGGTTAGAAGAAACCTTGTAAATTTTGCTATAGGAATTGTATTTGTTTATATATGTTACTTTAAAGATGTTTTATATCTTGTCCGATAGCCCATGGCGAGTATTATCGTACAATATATTGCAATATTTTACTCATATCTCTTGACAAGGAGAAAAGATATAAAAGCTGTTTTTACTGACTTTCATAAAATTGTTTACAACATTAATTCAAGTATTTTGTGTACTTTTAATTGAATAAAAGTGCGAATTCGACATTTTTTTTCGTTTTATTTCCCAATTGAGCACTTTATAAAAGGACTAAATATTTTCCGCTAAAACTCACCTCAACGCTCAGTATACATCTGTGGTAGTAGACTGTACACATCAACGTTAATAAAAGTTCTTACTCTCTCACGTTAATTCTAGCTTGTAATACGTTCTGAAAAACAATCACTTTTATTTCGCTTAAAAACTTTCGATTATTCTCTCGAATATATTGACTAATGCTTTTCTCACCGGTTCACAGGCCGCATTGGATCGATTCAATTATGACGTAGACATGACGTCGGTTGATTATTTTATTGCTTCAACACATCAAGTAAGACGGCAAATTTTTCATCAGTAGCCGAAGATATCCAGCGATATACGGAGGTATGTTCAGATTTCCTGAAAAGGAAATTTCTGAAAATGAAATACTGTATTACAATGATATTTCAGCAAGATGCAACGCAACTAGCAGAACTTATAGAAATTTCAGAAATTCCAAGTATTCGATATATCAATAATTAATAGTAATCACAGGAAGAATAGGGATAGACTGTAGAGAAATTTTAGAAATTTCGGAGATTACAGATATTTATATGTGACTGCTTGATAGTGATGATAGGAGTCTGAATGTCTGGAGAACAAATGTTCTAATTGAAAAGTTGTTTCATACAGATAAATTCATTTCGATACTCTTTCTTCAGTTTCCAACAGGTCACAATATTCTTTAGCCTTAGTGTGAAAGGATGAATATAAGTCAACTTATACTCAAACATTAATAACACCGAATCAACGATGTTTATACGTGAATGAATTGTTCAATTCATCGATATTAACAATGCCACGTATACAGCGAATCAAATATTATCACCTACCCTGTGAAAATTACGAGAAACTATGGTGTTTTTTATGAGAACAACGGTATGTGCTATCAGGATGATATCACATGTCCGTCAAGTTCCACGTGCATCTGCTCCAATTGTGATTTTGGTACGCGAGGTGGATTCTACGCGAAAAAAATTTCAGTTTGACATTAGATGATATTCTTCGCTATGAAATTCAACGCGGTCTACACTTTCTCCATAAACATTACCGATTAAGGTTAGCCTCGGAACGGCACTCTCCATGTTTTTACTTGGTTTGTTCAATGGTATCTGCTCGTTTTTAACATTTGGTCGGCACAAATCACAACAAGTTGGTTGCGGAATATATTTATTTGTGTCATCATTGACGACAATGTTTCTAATGATATTCTTCTTGATAAAATATCTATTCGTTCTTTTGTCACAAATGGATTTGATTTGCAATCGTTTTACTTGAACAGTTGGTTGAATGCATTTGTTGCGATCGAACGTGCTTACTCGGCATTTGCTAGTACAAGTTTCAATAAAAAACAAAGTAAATACTTAGCAAAACGAATCATAATTCTTTCGTCGATTAATATTTAATTATCAATTGTCCATGAATCAATCTATCGTGAATTCAACGATGATCACGAACAGAATTGTATGTGGTGTGCCATACACGATTCGAACTTTGTTCAAAACTATAACTCAATGATAATATTTCTTCATTTCTCGATTCTATTTTTGGTGATTTTCTTCTCGGTATTGTACATCATAATAATGACAGAACGTCGACATAAATCGAGTCAGTCGAAATTAATAGTTTCACAACATCTTGTCAAACAGATTCAAGAGTACAAGCAAATTATCACCACTTCGATACTCCTTGTTATTTTATCATTGCCACGTTTGATTATGTCACTGTTAACAACTTGTATCAGACCATCGAGAAACTCATCGTTATTTCCAATCGCTTACTTCGCTTCGTTTTTGTCCTGACATCTGACTTATATTTCAAACAATGTAAAGAATCAATTCTATTATTTTGAAAACAACGGAGACGATGTGATAATAATCACTTATTGTGCGGATACAAGACGGAACGATAATGAACATCATGATTAATGTTTTTTTTCTTTATTATAACGAATGCTTTCGACGTGATCCTCTTCTGTGTGGAACGTTATGCGACCATTGACGGTCTAGAATTGCAATTCATTTCAGACTGGTGATGTTCAAACAGGAGAGGAAAAAACTCTGTTATGTTTCTACGAGATCAGATACGATTGCCTGCAAATTGAATTGAAATATATGAGAAACTACCGCACCCACGATCTCAGTCAGTTATAATTCTTAGGCTCGTAAATTGCATCATATATGATATGAAGATTGAGAAAGAAAAAGGTAGTCAACATAAATCGAAGAAAAATCTAAACATGTTTTGCGATGGTTGACTGATTTTCTTTTCTATTGACGTTTGAGTCAATGGACACCCACTCCGAAATGCGTATTTCTACTTATAAATAAAGGTAAAATATCGCTTGTTGTTACTTATAATTTCATTCATCGAATAGTACACAAAACAATGTACGGTAGATACGGTTACGGCGGATATCCCTCAAGTTATGGTACGTCATTTTCAGAAGCAAGAAGCGATGCGTGGATTAATGCAAACATACCAGGAGGAGTGAACAGTAAATATCGGAAATTTCTCGTGAAAAAATAATTACGAATGAGTCTGATCGATTTTAGGCGTTCTCGGTGAACGATTGGATAACTTTATGGGTGGAAATCCAAATCCGACATTTGGCCAAGTGTACGGTGGTGAATTTGGTGTAAATGGTTACGGAGGCGGGTATGGTTATTCAAGATGGTAAACAACTTCATCTTATTCAAACTGTTGTTTGACTCTTTTTTTTCGCAATTAATGATCATATATGAAAAACTAACAATCTATCTTTGAAATTCTAATTAAAACTCTTTTCTAAAACTTAACTCATTCATTGCAATATACAATTATAAGCTCGAACATAGATGATGGAATATTATAAGACGTTAAAATCTTGAGATAAGGTTCGTTCGTGATGGTGGTTGTTGTTGTCTTAAGTTGCTTTATTGTATCAGTGAACTGTTCATCGGTATGGTAGCTACATGTTACTTTCGCAGTACAAGACTAAAAGAAAATTTGAATCAATATAGTTTTTGTCCAGGTTGAATGACTACGACGGGGATCCAAATGGCTAGATATATAAACGAAATCATTTCCAATGGCAATCCCATTTTTCTATGCCGATGCCGAGTATTCTGCGTCCGACCAATAACGATCATATTGCGATAAATAATACGATCAAAAAGAAAAATATTGAAGATTAAAATTGTAACAACTAGCGAAATTATATTGAAAAAAGATCGATGACACCCCAACTTGCGAATAAATAGCATGGTAAAACACATGTCGAACGAATCATAGTATAGTACCTTGTAGCTGTACACATTGAATTAATAACGATAGCAATCATGTAATAGAAAGATGCCCATAGTGAACAAAACATCAGGGGAGTAATATGCAACAATTGATAATGTTCAAGGAATAATAGCCGAAGTACATAAAGATTGATAATGAAAGCAGAATTGAGGGAATTCCAAGGGAAATTAACACCCTCAATCTAGTTAAATATTCGAAAGAGTAGCTTAGCATTGAAACTGTTTCATTTATCGATATTTTTCTTCATCTGAGAGACTGTGAAGTAATTCTGGTTTTTCTGATAAACTCCTTCCCATAATAAAAGCACCCGAGGGCTTCTAATATGGGAGGGGGTTATTGTATATTACTGAAAGAAGTTCAGATTGTTTGAGAAACAGCGAAGTACTCGACTGGATACAAAACATCGGCATGAGAGTGAGTGCACTTGATGAAATCATAGTTTTACCAAATGACTTTCGAAGCGGTCTATGGTGAGCTGTTCTATTCCATGCGTCACTCAGTATTTAAGTGGAGGTGATCTTACTTCTTTTTTTTTAAGAATTGCTTGCTGACAATTTCAATTATCTCTTTATTTTCAACTCTGGTAAATTAATTTCGTTGGTCATACATGGAACGAGCATATCTCTCGCAGAAAAATTCACATATCATTATTTTTATGTTGACAGCGAATTAGAAAACATAAGTATGTTTACAAAGAAGTGTTTTTGTCAAACACACTGTATCGCTGTTTTATCATCAATTATACACTTGACCAAGAAGTACACCTCTTATATACACGCTTATACAAACTTCTATTGACGATAAAGTGGCTGAGCTGATTATTTATAACATGACAATACTATAATTAGTAAAGACGAGAAAGTTAGACGCAGATTTTCGTTTCATGATAATCATTTGACGAAAAAAATGTCATTTATTTTTATTCTAGAAATCTTTTTCATAAACATGCTCTTCAATATATCTCAACAAAGCCAATTCGCCAGCCAATGTTTCTTGGCCACTTGGAATAATTTGGTCTTCTGGCAGCAAAAATCCATATTTACCTAGAAGTATACAATAGAAAATGTACATCTTCGTTTCCTCGCGAAAGTAATTTCCACACTACCAGTATCTCGAAGTTCGACGCCATAGCTAAATGTTATATTGACTTTACCATATGTCCAATCGGCGCTACTACCCGATGAAACATAAACAACTGTAGCAATGCTTCCATGAACATATTTCGTGCCTGAAACAAACCCTTCTTTTCTATGTAAAACTTTGTTGACCATCGGCTTACCAAACACAGCACCCAATGCTTGAACTGCAACAGCAGATCCATCATCCTGTAATTTGAATTGTGCTGGCTTGGTCGTCGTGTAACCTAATAAGATATAACCGATGAAAAGCAATCCGACTGCAAGATCTTACCCCATGGTGACATCCAATATTGTGAATAAGAATGAAAGTTTATGTAGTGTACAATTGTATCACCATGATCACTGATGAATTGAGCAACTTGTGCTGTTTCAACCTCTGAAAATGCTTTACTGCCACAGTAAGTCTCATCGCATGGATCACGTGACGCTCCAGCTATAGAAAGATCATAGAACGACGAAAAAGAGACAAATAAGTTTTACCTTCACACCAGTGATAATCCCAATTACGATTTGGATCGGCACCAAAACAACGAGGATTCGATGTTTTGCTTCGAGTTTTACGCCATAATCGATCTAACAAAATGAAAACAATCTTCCAATGCGATTGCTACAGTAGGACTCACCTTTGGTCCATGTATATACATAACCATCGACATTGAAAACTGGCAAAATATAATAATCGAATTGGTCGACAAAATGAGTGATAGTTGCATCTTTGCCATAATTCGACAGAAGTGAATAAGCAATATAGATATTCGTTGCTGGACTTATCCATTCTCGTGAATGAATACCTGAACGGCAGATTTCTTCACTCGAGAAGTTTCAAGACAAAATCTTACCTCCATCCCACCATACAGCTTTCTTCTTATTGATAGGAGTGCCATCACGTTTCATGACTTGTTTATTTGATGATATTTTCAAACCTTTTATTGTTCGATTTTCATAAGATTGTCCAACAATAAATGATGTTGCTAATGAGGGATAGGTCTGAACCATAGTATCAATCCACGAATGAATTTCATCTAGTGGATGGTATTTATCATATGCAAAGTCATTTGCAATGAGATTAGACGGTCGAAATTGATGAAGGAGTTTTTGACCGTCAATCATGGAGCCAATGTCTTTCATAATCACATCATAGTTGATTTTATTCAAAGATAAATATTCATGTAAATCANAAAAAAAAATCTCATTCATAAAATAATTAAATATTTTCTAAGGGGGGGGGGGGGGGCTCAGGAAAATGCTAGCTTTTTTAGCGAATTCCGATCGCAGAAATCGCTCGATAAAAACTCATAGTTTGCGACCAATGTTATCATCCATGAGTTTTAACTACCCAGGTCGAACAATCCCATACTCGGTTCCCATCGGACCCAATATAGGATTTTATCAAATCCTACAGGAATTCGACGGATCCGATGAAATCCTGGTGTCGGAATCGTATTGGATTCCGACGGTCTCGGATCCGAAACATGGATTTTCTAAGGGTCATCATAGAACATACCTAAAAAGATTGCTCATAAAAATTTGCAACAACGAACGGGATTTTTCGAGTCGGATTCCAATGCAATTCCGTTTCCAGGAATCCGATCGGATCCAGCATCGGATTTGTTGACCTGGGTGGAACCCATGCTCTGAAAAGAAGATCCAGCACACTATAAAATCCTGGTTCCGCCACTATCGTGGACTCCTGTCAGTAGTGTTTTTCACGCACAATCCGAGTATGGAAGTAGTTTTTCGACCGATAGAAGTTGCACAACTATAATCTCTCTTTTTTAAAGAAAAAACACTTTTTCGATGATAATATTGAGAACAATATCACGTGTATCAGCATTATTCTTGCTTTTTGTTATGAAAAAGTGTGCAAATGTTGAATATTTTATCACCAAACTGTTCGCCTCAAAAAGTTCTACAAGATTCTTCAGGTCTCTTTCGATTCCGTAAGTGAAATAGCAAAAATTTTTCGAAAAAACGTGCGGAAAACCATGCAAAAGACGATTTTAGCATGTTTTTAGTGCTTTTCGTACTCTAAACCGAATGTGGCCAGGAAACAAAATAGCACATCTTGTAGAGCTCGTTTTTCTCTATCGAACTGCCTATTTGAAACCTTTGGTTCATTCCGGTTTTAGATAAGATTTTCCTCCACAAAGTTCAGGATTTGTGGGCTCGGAAGTCAATATTGCGGACGCGGTAGAAGATAAAAAGTCTATGAGAAAAATAAAAATTTTCACGGATTCTGATGCAGTTTCTCTTGAGGATTCTGAATATGCCATTGGTTTTGAAATTCGAGGAAGCTATGATGAAATATCGAGAGTTTTTCGGTAAAACGTCGACTTTTCATTTTTCAAGAAATTTCAAAAAATCAAAAATGGTGCTCTTAGTATTTGATCTATATCTCCTCGAAAGAAAGGTCAAATCGAAAAAATTTTTATATCAAAATGCTCAGCTTGAAAAGCTCTACAAACTCAGAAAGTTTCGTCAAAATCGGAGGAGGTCGCCGAATCGGCTGGTGCTTTCCCATGGAAACACCCTATTCTCGATTTAATCTACTGGCGCATTGATTTGGATCTGCAGTTTTGTCAAAGTTCTTATACGTTATTCGTTTATAATAGTTACTTTGTATTTGCCATCTTTTGGTTCGTCGTTTCTTTCCTAATCCTAGCTGTCTTCGGTTGCAAAACATACAGAAACTTTTAAGCAATACAAAGATCGTCACATAAGATAGTCACAAACAACGTTTAGAGAACCAACTAGTACGCAAGACGATCGCTCAGGTCATCTGCTTCGTGTTTCAAATTGTCGTACCTTATCTGCTGAACATTTACAGTACAGTTACATACGGCTGGTCTAAGAGCGAAATGAGTACTGCAATTGAATATCTAGTCGCATCCATAGCATATGCTATCTCCTCATCGTTTGTACCGATCAATTTCTATTTGTATGATGGGGCGTCGAAAGTTTTTCAAGATGGAGTGAATGGGTTGTTTTTGAAAGGATTCAGAACAATAAAGGAAGTATTGAACTGCTAGACGTATCGATTTTCAAGAAAGATCATGCGCAGCAGCGGCTGTACCAATTCGCATGCATACGTTGAAAAACTACCTTTAATATTAGAATATGATATTACTGTCTACCCTCCTGAATGATAAAGTATACCTAATAACATCTGTTCAAAGTGAAAAAAAGAATAAATCAATGATTTGCAGTTGTTATCGACTTATGTGATAAATGATACTTGCCTATTAATACTACCAAGGCATAGGAGAAAATATATTAACTTTTATACATTCTTTGAACATATAGTCATATTTATCGATAATGACTATAAATAAACAAAGCACGTCATTAATTGAGTGTTTGAAACTTCAATCATTTTATATTTTTTTATTCGATTGAAATGAAATCTAATCTTTCGCAAGCAAGTACCAAAAATAAAAGGTTTATGGTATTAAGGTTTTCTATTGTAGAATGATCGCTACATAAAGAGTGACGAGAGATTATATTGTAAAACCTGCGTTTGTAATTATTCAATCGTTGTTGATGACGAATTCGCGAGTGATATTGCTTTTCTTCTCGTGTCTGATTAGTATTGTTACTGTCTTGACTCAAAATCCGATTGGATAGCGAGAGTCTTCTTCGATTCGTGGTCTTCCTTTTGGTACCACAGCCATTATCAATAATCTGAGAGAAAACTCTGATGGTAGACAGTTCAATTCGTACATCTTGAAGAATTACCATTTAATCGAGCCCGAGAATGATTTGAAACCTCAAAAACTATGACGTGGTGAAAGTAATTACGACGGGGCTGAATTCCGACTGGCTTTTGGGACCTACAACAAAATCTACAGGATGGACCTAGCAGAACGGAGTGTAAATCCGTGGGCATACTTTAGTTTGGGCTACTGATGTTACTGGCTATTACAACGAGAAGCTTCGTTATCATTGGAGATAGCTAAAGCATTACTGAGTGATTATATTCATGCCGTTGTAGTACGATATTGCCTGTTGTGTCAGTTTTTATGGAGCAATAGTACGTGTTCGTCGGCAGCATAATGATAATTTTTTACATTTGGTTTCAAATTCCGGTAATAAGATAGCAACCAGAAATGGTATGGATTGTGTTGTGTAATCCAATAAGTGAAGAATAAACCGGCGCCATAATAGGCAAATCGTATATTGCTTGGCAGCTCGCCGGAATAACCGGCATATAAGATCATTGGTGGTAGTTGCAATGTAATGTTCAGTACGCATATTGGTAATAATTGCACTACTAATTTCTTGTAATTTTTCCATTGTGTCCTTTCTTGAACACCATGCTTATGGTAGATAACACACGTATAAGAAGAGATGCACTGAGGATGACTGTAATAAATGCAGTTGATATGAAGTTTCCGACACTGTAAAACAATTCACAGAGATGAGGAATGTTTCTAACACAATTATACAAGCTACAAAACCTTCCGCCACAGTTAACCGGTACATTGCATAGCATCAAGAAGAACAAAGTAAAATACTAGACGCCATAAAATTGCTAGAATTAGTGGGAAATAATGAAAGAAGAAGCTCTTTGTTTTGTTTGTAAATCAATGTGAGTAAAAAATGAGAATATGTTGTTTGAACGATGCCCAAGTTATCACCGTATAAACTGATGTATATCCAGCTCCGACAAAAAGCAACCGATGGTGTACAAGGTGCGAACATAGTTTGAAATAGACATTTGATATACCTATGAACAAAGAGTTGTCTAAAAAAAAGCACGAATTGATGATGTGAAACGTGTTGAATTGGATCTATTGTATATTACTGAGAGAAGTTCAGATTGTTTGAGAAACAATGAAATACTCGACTGGACACAACATTGGCAAGAGAGTGAGTGCACTTGATGAAATCATAATTTTACCAAATGACTTTCGAAGCGGTCTATGGTGAGCTGTTCTATTCCATGCGTCACTCGATGTTTAAGTTGGGATGATCCTAATTCTTTTCTTTTAAGAATTGCTTGCTGACACTTTCAGTTATCTCATTATTTTCAACTCTGTTAAATTAATTTCGTTGGTCATACATGAAACGAGCATATCTCTCGCAGAAAAATTCATATAGCATTATTTTTATGTTGACGGTGAATTAGAAAACATACGTATGTTTACAAAGAAGTGGTTTTATCAAACATTTCTTGATGTTATTGTACACTGTATCGCTGTTTTATCATCAATTATGCACTTGACCACAAGAAGTACACCTCTTATATACACATTTATACAAACTTCTATTGACGATAGTGTCTGAGGTGATTATTTATAATATGACAATAATATAATTGGTAAAGACGAGAAAGTTAGACCCTGATTTTCGTTTCATGATAATCATTTGACAAGAAAAATGTCATTTATTTTTATTCTAGAAATCGTTTTCATAAACATGTTCTTCAATATATCTCAACAAAGCCAATTCGCCAGCCAATGTTTCTTGGCCTGTCGGAATAATTTGGTCTTCTGGCAACAAAAATCCATATTTACCTAGAAGTATATAATAGAAAATATACATCTTCGTTTCCTCCCGAAAGTAGTTTTCACACTACCAGTATCTCGAAGTTCGACGCCATAGCTAAATGTTATGTTGACTTTACCATATGTCCAGTCGGCGCTACTGCCCGATGAAACATAAATAACTGTAGCAATGCTTCCATGAACATATTTTGTACCTGAAACAAACCCTTCTTTTCTATGTAAAACTTTGTTCATCATCGGCTTACCAAACACAGCACCCAGTGCTTGAACTGCAACAGCAGATCCATCATCTTGTAATTTGAATTGTGCTGGCTTGGTTGTTGTGTAACCTAATGAGATATAACCGATGAAAAGCAATCCGACTGCAAGACCTTACCCCATGGTGACATCCAATATTGTGAGTAAGAATGAAAGTTTATGTAGTGTACAATTGTATCACCATGATCACTGATGAATTGAGCAACTTGTGCTGTTTCAACCTCTGAAAATGCTTTACTGCCACAGTAAGTATCGTCGCATGGATCATGTGACGCTCCAGCTATAGAAAGATCATAGAACTACGAAAAAGAGACAAATAGGATTTACCTTCACACCAGTGATAATCCCAATTACGATTTGGATCAGCACCAAAACAACGAGGATTCGATGTTTTACTTCGAGTTTTACGCCATAATCGATCTAACAAAACAAAAGCAAACTTCAGATGTCATTGTTACAGTAGGACTCACCTTTAGTCCATGTATATACATAACCATCGACATTGAAAACTGGTAAAATATAATAATCAAATTGATCGACAAAATGAGTGATAGTTGCATCTTTGCCATAATTCGACAGAAGTGCATAAGCAATATAGATATTCGTTGCTGGACTTATCCATTCTCGTGAATGAATACCTGAACAGCAGATTTTTTCACTCGAGAAGTTTCAAGACAAGATCTTACCTCCATCCCACCATATAGCTTTCTTCTTATTGATAGGAGTGCCATCACGTTTCACGGCTCGTTTATTTGATGAGATTTTCAAACCTTTTATTGTTCGAGTTTCATAAGATTGTCCAACAATAAATGATGTTGCTAATGAGGGATAGGTCTGAACCATAGTATCAATCCACGAATGAATTTCATCTAGTGGATGGTATTTATCATATGCAAAGTCATT